GATGGCCTCCATCCTAGGAGCGATGGCCTCCATCCTAAGAGCGATGGAATCCAACCTACCAGCGATGGCCTCCAACCTACCAGCGATGGCCTCCAACCTAAGAGCGATGGCCTCCATCCCAAGAGCGATGGCCTCCAACCCAAGAGAGATGGCCTCCAACCCAAGAGAGATGGCCTCCAACCTAATTACTAGCGATGGCCTCCAAGCTTTTCTGGCGCCCCAAGAAAAACACTTCACACTCGTCTCAACTCGTCTCCTCCATGGAGAACCACACGACGATCTCTTCGTAGTTTGACTCCATGAGTTTCAATTCGTCTTCCAGACCCGCCAGGTTCTCTCGCCGCGACTCCAAAAGCTCTCGGCACGAAATCAAAGACTCATCTCCAAAAAGCTTCTGGTGGACTTGATCCTTGGGTCATGGCGCAGCTCATGGCAGCGCCTCCTATGTAGATTCCAACAGCTTGGATAGCCAACACAACCACCTAGAAATATGCAATCCAACATCTCTTTATATCTTCTTACCAGAGACCCTTCAAAGGTGATATTACGGTGGAATGTGTAAAGCATGTGCAAACAACTCACCAATTCATGGACCGGCACACCCAGCCAATTTCACTTAGGATGGAGGCCATCGCTATTAGGTTGGAGGCCATTACTACTGGTAGCAAGAAACTACTAGGTTGGAGGCCATCGCTCTTAGGATGGAGGCTGCACACCGGGCCGCAGCACATCCGGACGGAGCGACGGAAGCACTTCGGCACCGGGGCTCGGCGGTGGCTCGGAAGGCGCGGAGCTCGTCCGCGAGGTCCTGCGCCTTGTGCCGCGCGGCCGCCTTCAGCAGCTCGAATTCGCCTCCGGAAATGACAGAAACTTATTTATATAGAAAAAGGAACAATTATCCCGGCAAGAGACCCCAAACAGTGTGTGAGAGGTCTGTAAGTAGAAAGTCTAGAGATCTAGACGCATTGGGGTCCAGAGAGGTGATGGTGGTGATGAAGGTGGGGATCGTGGTGACGGTGGCGGAGTGAGTGAGTGAGAGTGAGAGTGGGAGAGTGAGTGAGTGAGTGAGTGAGTGAGTGTGGGTGAGATTGAGAGTGAGCGTGAGTGAGAGTGGGAGAGTGAGTGAGAGTGTGAGTGTGAGAGTGAGGTGAGAGTGAGAGTGAGTGTGAGTGCGAGTGTGAGTGAAAGTGAGAGTGGGTGAAGGTGTGAAAGTGGGAGAGTGAGAGAGTGAGCATCTGAGAGCGCGAAATCGATCTGTGCATCGAGGTTCACAAAGTGCTGTGCTTGTCACGAACTCTGCGCGTCGACGTTCACAAAGTGCTGTGCACGCCACGAAATCTGCACATCGAGGGTCACAGAGTGCTGTGCCTGCCACGAAATCTGCAAACCAGCCACATGTCCAAAAGTCACGATTCACTGCACCTGTCACGAAATCTGAGCTCCTCGACGATCACCACCATGTCCAAAGTGCTGCGCCTGCCACGAAAACTTCATGTCGAAGTAACAAAACAGCTCCGATCCCTTGCACCTGCCACGAAAAGTCGACTTTGGAGCACCAAAGCACGAGGTTTCCCTTGCGCCTGCCACAAAAAGTCACCACCATGTGCGAAAATGCGCACGGCACCACAACGAGAGCGCAGTCGCTAGAAGCACCCGCCGCGGCCACCCAGACTTTGTGAGCCTGCGCAGTCGAAATGCACATTGATGATGTCGAGAGGCATGAATGTACTGTAAATAGCAACGAATTAGCCGTTCACGGCCGCACGCCTCAGCGATCTACGCACACCTGCTTTTCTCCTACCGTAATTAAGAACCTTTCAGTGTGACCACACTGTTTGGGGAAAAACGAAAACACATAGTTATTTAGGTAGTAGGATTATGTAGTAGAATAAAACACAGAAAACGAATAAGGAGAAACCCGTATCAAAAGCTTTGGGGAGAGAAGATCAATGTGTTTGTGTCATCTACAAAAGCAGTTGTCAAGTTGTCGATTATACATGAAAGTTCTGAAGCTTCGAAAGCGGGGCAACTTGGTTTGTCAGAGCTGAACAAGAACTAATTAGTTTGTACCTTTGTAGTTCCCATGACATCACATGGTTACTGTTTCTATATTCGGAGCAAGGATGTTCCTAGGGGCTCCTGGCCTTACTACTAGGAGCAAGGACGCTACTAGTAACAAAGGGCATTGCTGCTAGGAGCAAGGACGCTAGTAGGCGACGCGTCTCTTTCTGCCTCCCGGAGCAAACACCTTTTGCAAATCACCAGAGTGACCACGCTCCATTTGCGCAACGATGTAGTCAACCAAAGTGCCAGCTTTGTTTTCTTGTGACCTTGAACTGCAATGGTGTTGCAAATCGACGAAACTGCCATCGATGAAACAACACTGAATGTGATGTCCAGTTGTTTAACACTGATCCAGGATGCATCTTCACGGTTCGCATCAGCAACAACGTGTCCAGTGCAAAGCCGTCCGCCCGCCCTCGAGGGGTGCCACCATTCAAGTAGTTCCCGACATGGAGGACGATGCCCAGCAAATGTCCTAAATCCAAAGCAAACGCGAAATACATCGCTACTAGTAACATGTGCATTTCTACTAGGAGCAAGGACGCTACAGTAACAAGAAGCTACTAGTTACAAGGGCATCGCTAGTAGTAACAAGAGCATTGCTGCTAGTAACATGCATTTTTTCCAAACGAGAAATACGGCCATCGACTTGGAAAAGCGCGTGTTCCAAGTGGCGGATGCAGGTGGAGGTCAGCACACATTGGCAGCCCTCTGAGACGCAACGCAAGGCTGAAGCCAAGGTTTGGAAACCTAGGCTTGCTTAGCACAAGGCGCTACAAATGTGCAAACGATCCCTTCGAAGCGGAAGTTCGCTTCGTTGCTGGAGGCAGTTGTGATCTCTTCGTGAATTTAGCGTAGTCAGTTTTGGAGCTGATGCTGCATTCTGCGAACGTGCATTCTGGGCAAGCTTCAAACGAAAACCGAATGGTAGAAAAGATATTAACATATAGATGAATAATGTAAGTGTTTCAAGATTGAGTTGCAGGGCCTAGATGTTATTTCGAAGGGTAGCTTCTAGTAACAAGTGCATCGCTACTAGTAGCAATTTTCTTTGTTTTTTTGCTTTTTAAGCCTAGATTCTATTTAGATTCTATTTGATTCCCAAATCAGTTCGACATTGCCTCGGCCTGGGCCTCCAAACGCTCTTCGAAGGCATTTTGAAAATGCCAAGCGCGGAGACGCAACTCAAACTGAGGCACCTCCAAAAAAGAGATCTTTATTGAAGAGTTTAAAGCAAATACTAGTAACAAGGGCATCACTACTAGTAGCAAGAAGCTTCTAGGGGCTCCTGGCTACTAGGGGCTCTTGGCCCTACTACTAGGAGCAAGAAGCTGCTAGTAACAAGGGCACCCGCTCCCTTCTAGTAGCAAGGGCATCGCTACTAGTAGCTTCTAACTATTTCTAACTACTAGTTGAAGAGTTTAAAGAGGCCAACATTAAAGAGTTTACTGACGCATCTTGCTCTTTCAAGTTGTCCTTTTGAAGCTTTCTTAATTGCCAGAAAGGCATGAAAGGCATCATGACCCTATCAATCAAACATATGTTTGCAAACGGCTTGTTGCAATTTGCACCTCGATGAAGGTCAGCAGGAATTCTTCCGCTTGATCCCAAACCTAGAACAAACCCTGATCCCCCAGACTGAGGAAACACTTTCAACCAAATAGTAACAGGGTCTGTGACTGATGTTGCAACAGGCATTTCCATACACAGTGTATACCAATACCAATTCGCCCAATCAAGATTTGAGGCAGAAGAATAAGACAAAACCACCGCAAAGTGTCTTAGGTCCTTGTTTCAGCTTACGCATATATTGTAAGCGCACAGACATACTCAACAAGGGAGTGTTGCTTTAGAGGTCTTGAACTGCGTCGAGAACGGGTTGACCGATGAAGAATGTCGCATGACTCCCAATTTAGCTTCAGCGTTTAGTGAGATTTCCTGCAAAATCCAACCTTCTAGCTGCATGGAAAAGGCCTGGTACCCAGCCGAGACACGTGCAGTTCGTCAATAGTGTGTTCGGATTTGGCTCGCTGCAGCAATTTGATTTCTTCGTCCGAGGGCAAGTTGATGAGTAATAGCTCCACCTGACCAAAATGAGTCAAGATACACCTGGAGGACCCAAATGCGGTTGACAACTTTCATGGGGTCAACCGTGATTCAATCATTTTAATATGTAATGTTGCGTTATGTTGGCCTGGAGAAAAAAGATAACAAACAGGTTCTGGAATGATATTACATACTAAGATATATAATATATATTGTCTAAAATCTAAACATCTAGGAACCCAAAGAATAGAAGCGTGAGCTATCCTGCATCCTACCTTGTAGCAAGTTATCTAGTAGATTCTAGTAGCGTCCAGCCCTTACTGAAATAAATCGCCGGCTACTTAATTCAGTAAGGGCAGGCAATAAAGACAAAATATACAACAAGAAGCCACTAGGAGCAAAGGGCATCGCTAGGAGCAAGGACGCTATTAGGGCTCCTGGCCTTACTACTAGAAACAAGAAGCTACTAGGAATTAGAATGGAGTTGTTACTCACCATTGCGACGACTCCTACCTGTTCACTGTCCAAAGCAGTGAAGTCCATCGACTGCAAGGCCCGGGCCACTTCCTTTCAAAGCGCCATAAAACTGATGCAAAGCTTCGGCCGTTTCACGGTTAAGACTTCTTGGTTGTTTCACCGTAAAGAAAAGTAATCAAACAAAACTCTGTTTTGTTAGAGTTAGAGAACTCAAAGGATGCTGTTCTTCTTTGATGAATCTTGATGAGACAATTCCAAATTCAGATGAACTGAAGAAACATGGCCTCGGAATAATGCTGGTGCGAAGGGTACTTGGCAAGCGCAAATGGTTCCAGGGCCGAGTGTTTTCAACGGGGGTTGCTCAGCTGTCCACATCAGGGTTGCCTTAAGCGTCTCATCGGGGGTCGCCAGTTGTCTCGGAGTTGGTTTTCTAACTTCACTTCAGCACATCACACATTCCCACAGATCCAAATCACGCGGCACTTCATCACGCACAGCATCATATCACATCAACACCTTGCAAAGCGCCTGCATCACAAAAAAAAATGAAAAACATTAAAAACACATATGAACAACAGAAACCAATGACTTTTCTTAATCATCTTTGTCGCTAAACATACTGTCTATGGCATCGCCTTTGTTTGCTTCCCTCTCTCAATCACCAAAGGACTGACAAGCGCCACTTCTGTATCCTTTGGGCCGTGAAGGAAAGCTTAGATGGACAAGTGGAACGGACCGCGCGGGGAGTCACCAGGTGCCCGTGCACCTTGTACTTGCTCCTGGTAGCGTTGCATCTTGTTACATTCGTAGCTTGTTACCTTTTGCGAGTTCGGTATATGAGTGATGTGAGTATATATTAATTGTGTATGTCGTGTCCGTGTGTAGGAGAGCGAGGAGGAATCAGACATGAGAAGAAGCAATGGTACCAATAGGTCTGCTTTTTTGCAGAAAGTTTACTTTTGACATTTAGGAAGAAAGCCTTCGTGTATCTTTATGACGTGGTGTCTGGAGCTTCTTTGGGTTGGTCTTGTCACAGTGTATGAATTCAGGCCTTGTTATCGAGAGTCCATGTTGATTTGGTTTCACCTACTAGCGGCCTCCAACCCAGACGCAATGGCCGACCTACTAGCGATGGCCGACTTCGAAAACGTAAAGGACGCCAAAGTCTCCAATGAGTTGGGCAATCGTGCTAGCATCACACAGACCTGACGCCGTCGCTGTGTGTCAAGCACTTGAATCTTCTTCACGCCTGGCGTTCTCGTGCAAAACACAAATGTGCAAAACACAAAGTTCGAACATTACATGCAATGTCACATTCGAAAGACTGGATGCGCAAATCTTCTTGCATGTCTTGACACTATTCATCAGGTCCATTTGTTAAACATGCTTGAACATAACATCAAACCATGCTTTTGGTGTTGGCGGCCATCGCTAGCATAGTTAAGTTTCCCTAAGAATCTAGAAACTAAATCATTAGTGCGAGCGCTATCCTGCGTCCTAGGTAGTAGCCGCTACTTAATCTACTAGCTACCTAGCTGCTACTAGCTACCTAGCGCTACCTAGTTACCCCTACGGCCTACCCCGCCGAGAAATAAACAGGTCTTAAAGTTCGTTTGCTGTGTAACTACGAGCTGGGATGACGATCGCGGTCTTCTGGGCTGGGTGAAGCAAATCGTTTCCCCGGCTCATCGCAAAAGAGCTCCTGAGAAAACAAACTGGACAAAATCGCGTTTTGCAAGCAATAAAACAAGTGAAGTGAACGGAAGCGAATGTTTTGTGCTTTATCCTTGATTGTTTTATGTACATGTTCATCTCATTGGTTTAAGGACTGTAGAGCATTTAGGATGTAAACAGGTCTCAAACTAGTTCGCATCGGCCTCAAGTTGTTGCAGCTGCTTCAGGTCGATTGGAGCGCCTACAAGAAAACCGGCCGAGCTCTCTTTACTTGGTATATAACTCGGAGTCCATTCATTCCGTGCTTCGTGTACGTACCTACGCTGCCCCAATCGTGTGAAACTTTGTGAACATGAACCCTGATCTGCGTGGATCTAAGCTTGAATTGCAAGCTCTTTGGAACGCACTGCCACACCTTCGAGATCGATCTCATTCCATACTGTGTTGCGGCCACTATCCACTCGGAAGGAGTTCCAAAACAGTCGCTTCACTTGGACGCCAGGTTTGATGTCGGGCTTCCTGGCGGCGCACAAAGAGTTTCAAGACTGACCTGCGAAAGAAACGACCAAAAGTGATTTGTAAGAAAAATTCTTCATCTTCATCTGATTCGCTCAGAAAATTCGTCCGACCAGTCCTGGGTTCAGCTTTTGCTTTGCCTTTGCCTTTGCCAGCATCTTTACCTTTTCCATCTTTGCCTTTGCCTTTCGGCGGCGCACCTTTTCCCTTCGGGGACGAGCTTGGCTTCGGCGAGTCGGGCCTGAAAGTGAGAAGCTACGAAAAGAAGTCTAACATTGACGTGCTAAACAAATCTGCACATCTCAGTCAAGCCGCTGTTTGGAAAGATCAGGCTCAGGTTTCGGAGAGTCTGTGGGCTTTGAAGATGAGGTCTTTGGGGATGGCGCCGGCGAGGTGGGCGAGGTGGGCGATGCAGTTGAGGGCGAAGAGGGCCCAGGGGGCCGCAATCCGGGCGACGTCAGATCCCTCACAGTGGCTCACGAACCGACCACTAAACATGTGTGGTTTTTACAATGACTTGATGACTTGTTACGTGGCTAATAGGTTGGAGGCCATTGCTCATTGCTATTCAAATGCTTTCGTTCGTGATCAAAGTATAAGTCCATTTCACGTCCATCGCTCCCTTCTCTGACAGGTCATAGCCAAGTCTAAATGGGCAAGGAGATCCAAAAGCACGACGTACGCCAAACAAACTGCTGAATGAACCGCAACAGTCTGAACAGTTCCTTCATCTTAAAATAGACTCGCACGATCTCGCAAGGATTGTAAAGCACCAGGTTGAGGGGGGTAGGGGGGCACAGCCCTCATTTGACGAGCGGGCAAGCCAAGGGTGTGTTTTATACTGTTATACTCTTGTCAAGAAAGTGAATGGTGCCTTGGTGGTTGCACATTGGGTGTGAGGGCAGCAGTTGGTGTGATAAACTTGACCTGATGCCCACCCAAAATGGCTTCAAAAGAACCATGCATCAACATGGGAGAAACCAAACCCAACAAAGCTTACACTAAGGTTGGGAGTGGAATTTGGTTGCGGTCCCCAAAACTAGTGCCTTGTGAAAACGGGGGCCATCTGAAGCCTCGAAAGCACGTGCTTTAGACTCTTGATGCAATTGTGAACCGCAGTGTTGCAGGTACATCAACCACTATCTTCATGCAAATCAGCATTGTTCTCAAAGGAATCTCTATGGGTGCCTCATTCAATTTTGTGTCCGCTCTGCGCAAAGAAATTTATGGACTTATAGACTCTAATAGACTCTATAATGGATAAATTGTTTAATGGACAATTAATGAACAGGCGTTTACAATATCGGAGTACGCTGCAACAAATTCAATGCGTGCGAATGGCGCTGGCCGTTCGGCTGGCTGCCCTGCACGGCCCCGATCTGGTCGTGTTGGGATTGGCCCCGGCAGGTGGAAAGGCCCACGAGTTGCAGCTCCTTAGAATCGCAACCCATGAGTTGCACCTGAAAGTGCTACACAATGCTTTGGGGGATCTTTGGGGTATTCTCAGGCCTGAGTTGATCTGAGCTTCCGTTCTCTGGTGGACAACTGCTGTGTCGAGGTTGCATGGCACGGCCGGGGCTGGTGACTCCATCACAAACCACCTCTGGCAAGTCCACAGCCACCTCGAAACCAAACTCGTGGGGAAGTGCCACACCATGATCTGGAATCCAAATGAATACAGCATCTGGTTTGTCTGATTCGTGAACATGTACCATGCTCTGCCGCTCTACCCATACGAGTACAGTAGGATCATCAATTGTGGTATTGCACTCATCTTCTCATTTAAACGATTTTAAATGTCTTTTCCGCTCGTTTACCTTTCGCATTTTTTCAGTCCTATCTTTGCTTTATTTGCTTTCAACATCTTGCTTCTCCGGAGAACTCTTCCGTTTGTTTCAATAAAATCACCCAGGCCACCGTTCTTATCGCCCACGGCGATGGGGTTGGGCTTTGCGTCTTGCTCCGGCTTCGGTTCTGCGGCGTTGCTTGGTCGCTGGACACCTGCCATCACCGAACTATCTGAGTTGTGGGCCTTGATCTGAAGGCTTGGCTGATCCAACCTAATAGCGATGGCCTCCAACCTAATAGCGGTGGCCTCCAATCCTAATCGCGATGGCCTCCAACCTAGTAGCGGTGGCCTCCAACCCAAATCGCGGTGGCATCCAATCCTAATCGCGATGGCCTCCAACCTAATAGCGGTTGGCTCCAACCTAATAGCGGTGCAACCTATATAGCGGTGGCCTCCAACCTAAATAGCGGTGGCCTCCAATCCTAATAGCAGTGGCCTCCAACCTAAATAGTAGTGGCCTCCAATCCTAATCGCGATGGCCTCCAACCTAATAGCGGTG